CATGAAATTACGCACACGTTCAAATATTCCCGGCGTATTTCGTCTAACTTCACACGAGGCAACTATTGACTCTCTTAAATCTTCCACAGTATTAACGGGAGTTCTATACACTAAGATCAAATTTGCTTAAAAATAAATGAGAATTTAAAAAATAATTTTATTTTAAACGAAAGTAGTAGCGTAGTATTTGTTTCTCTAAAAAAATTCAATGCAAAAGTCGTACGGACGCCACTGGTAGAGAAAATAAAAACTTTTGCACATCAGATGATAGAAGACATGTACCAAATTTCATAAAGATGTCTACAATATTATCTCTATTATTAATTTGTTTAACTTTACCACCCTGTATCTCAAAAATTAAAACGTTTAGGACTATTTTTCTGACAATTTTATGTATACAATTCGTTGCTTAAATCATCAATTTAGAATTTATTTATTTTTAATACATTTCTAACATTATAAGGCAAACTGAGGGCGCGTCAAAAAATTACCATATATAAGTATGTATATACTACATAATTTAACAATTGAGCTTCTTCCGCACTTACAAAGAATACGACCGGAGACCGGAGACGTTTGGAAAGGGTTAAAGACATCGTCAAATTCCACTTAATGATCAACAAAGAAAATTAATGTAGTAACAAGTAGGTATTTCTTCACTTTCCCATATCGGATAATGTAAAATGCCGGTATGCCTATATAGGTATCCAAAATGAGTCAATCTGCCAGTCACGTCGAATCAATTAGACCTGATTGAGACGTTGTAAACAAAGAAGAACGATTCGGTAATGAATGAAGTAAATCTCGTCCTTATAATTAAATTAAGATTACATGTAAACCTTTGTGTGGTAGAGGAAGTAAGAAAAACATGCTCCGTAATCATGAATGCTTTTTTGTGTCAGTAATAAATTGATAATGTGAACGAAGTAATTGACATATTTGATTGATTTTCTTAGTGGACCTGGCGTGTACATCGTTCTTATCCTCGGTTACACGCATTTACGTCCACGAAAATCTCAATTACAAACTGGCAGTTGAAGATAGGGCGAGTAGCAAACAATTTTCTTCATGCTAGATCTATGAATGTTTCATTTACAGAAATGCCGATCGGAATTTCTCAATTTCGATGCTAATTTAATGCGTATCCTGAAAAAATGAAAAATGGGCTGAACGTTTTCATTGTATGTACTTTCGATCAACACATTTTAGTGAATTAACGAAAAGCTTTACCGAACTTTTCCCAGATTTCAGCGATCAATTAGCTACACAAGATTACCTTTCGCTTGGGTTTTGTGGCCTAGGTACCTTTGCTTAGTAGCTTAGTCTTATCATTCTTCGTTGTAGCAACTCAAAGAATACCAAGGAAACATTGAGTTATGACCAGAAGCAATTTATGACTTACTGAGACTGCGTAAACTTAAAACCAAATAGCACACTCACACCGTAGGCCAGCTTCAATTACAACAAAGAGTCACCCCTAACGCTCCGTTGATGATTAGTGTTTTGGTGACCTGGATTATAGGTCAAGGTCTGAAAGTACAGCCATGCTCTTAGTTTTAAAAACAATGAACGTCAGTTGCAATTTAAAGCTAATAAAACCTCAAGCTTGAAACCCCTGTGAAAGCAGCAAGCAAAGGTAGCAAGCCGAAATTGGCCGAAGATGATGTCACACAGTCAAAACTACGCTATGAAATAGTGACGTCACGGTTTAAATTCTTGCTTACGCAGTGACGGCGACATTGACTAACTACCACATTTCCCATACTTTTTCCAGAGTTTTCTTAACTCCCAAGTCCCCACCGGTCGTCCCATCACATAAGCTCCCTCGGCACTTCTGTAACTTGTTTTCCAGGAACCAAGAACTGTTTTTTTTCCTCGAGACCATCTGAATTTTGTAGGGTTCGCTTGAGGAGACCATCATTGTCCCTAATAATCGAATCCCATTGCGCCCAATAAGATTTCAGAGCCGGTGTTCTATAGGCAATTTGGTTCCCAAGCTGCTTTCTATTCCACGAACACTTTTCAGATTTTTTGTCGTTCTTTTGACCAACTCCTCTTCCTCCTCGGTTCGTCGACAATGCCCAAAATTTTCTAGACAGAGCATCAGCACTTCCATGACGAACTCGTGCACGATGTTCGATAGCAAAGCCGTACTCTTGCAGGCGTTGGATCCAGCTTGCTATCTAACCTTTGGGATTCTTGAATTGCAGTAGCCATTTCGAAGCGGCATGATCGGTCCTTAGCAAGCATTTTCATCCATACAAGTACGTATAGAAATCTCCAAAGACCTGACTATTGACAATAACTCCCTCCTAGTAACCCAAGAGTTTCTTTGGAACAGGCCCTTGGATCCTCCGTTACCGGATACAATGTGCCCCAAATATCCGCACGCGGCGTCGGAAGAAATTGTACTTTTTGAGACTCGGCTTTAAATTGGCCTTTTTGAGTCGCTGGAATATATCTTCAAGGTTCTTAATGTGGTCCTTGAAACGATTGTCAGCTACAATAATATCCAAATAAACCAGGCAAGTCTAATCCCTTAGGAATCGATACCAAAACTCGCCCAAAGGTGGCTGGCGCATTGCACAATCCGAATGGCATGACGATGAATTGGCGTAATCCTGATTCAAGGCCATATTTTCCTTATCTTCTGGAGCTAACTCCACTTGCCAATAGTCAGGTTTTAAATCTAACGTGGTGAATATTCTTCATTCGGCAGGAGTATCTTTCTTCGTCACGTTGTTGAGCTGACAATAATTCACAGAAAATCTGGTGGAGCAGCCTTTCCTCTTTACAAGGACTACCGGAGGATTATTTCATTTTTCGATCACACTTTCCTTCTTCATGTATTGCAAAATCTTGCGCACCTCCTCCCACTTATCCAACGGCAGGCTTCTAGGTGGATGTCGGTTGGTTGACAACTGTCAGTATTTACTTTGTGTCTAACTATCTTCATCGTCAACATTTGGAACTTCCCATTTCATCGATCCTCCTTTTCCGACGAGTCAGCACATGGTCTAGGCGGCTCTTCTTCAATATTTCTTTAGCTGTTGTCTGGAAATCGGTTTCTTCCGTCACAGTCCGGACTTTTGCGTGTGATTGATGCATTGATAGATTCTAGCATTGACTTATGATGAGATCATCTCACTGCCTGTTGAATATCAGTATCTCGGATTCCAGCACCGAATTGTTTGGTGGAAATTTATCCTGGGTTCCTGTGTGCACCACAAATTAATACTAGCGAAGCACTAAGGATTCTACCAGATCACGGTAGTTGTGCTTCATTAATAAAAAAGCTGTGGCTAACTTCCGACCTCTAACTTTGGGACTTTATATCTTCTGAACCGTAGATGTTGCTAACGAGGCACTAATGGCCGTTTGCACCGACAAATTTAAATGAACCTTAGCTTACGTGTAGCTTAAAATCCATGGCAACGATTATTGAGACAATGGTTGCCATGGATTTTAAGCTACGCTTAAGGCTAGCTCTACTTAAATTTGTCGGTGCAAACGGGCATAAGGACTTTGCATGGTGACGTCATTTGTACGTTATATCAGTGGACAAACTTCCTGGACCCCAATTTACAGTGCGTAACAATAAATTAATTCGTTTTTAGTATACAGGGCGAGTCTCTAACTTAATAAATTCAGTAAATCAAAGGTTTTTTTTTCGAAAATGTCCTCGAATACGGCGATTATTATTGTAAACGCGCTTTTATACAGGGTGTCCCAAATTTGAAATGTGACGTCATTGACTATTTTTTTAAACGGAAACCCTAATTCGGAATCTAGCGCATATGCGTAACTTGATATACTCTTTAAGAATATTCGTAAAAACTAGAGGATTGGGGATGTAATTACAAGCGTTTCCAAAAGCGTTTGGTTTTGAGCGTGTGGTGACTCATATCAAATTTATTACAAATTGGCAGATTGAACACGTTGATCTACAAATTCAAATGTAAACTGGGGCGTACTAAAAATTTCTTAGAAGTGATCTGGTACCCCTCTAATACCACCAATAAATGTGCAATTGTAATGGAAGACTATGAGTTGGACAGTAAGTGTAACTGCAAGAATCTTCTGGGAGTGAATTTGTTTGGGACGAAAGACAAATTTACTACTTGCGAAGCGATTTACATGATCACCTATAATTAGGTATAATTAGATTAGAACTGACCATTTGATGTAACGTACTGTAAACTGATACATCTAATAACCACAATGTATAAGATATCAATCTACACGGAAAAAATATCACACTTCCCAAAGGACATTGAACTTCGATACTTGATCGCGTTTAATGTGGCAGAGCCTAAAATTAGTTTAAGAATATTTTTTTCGGTCATAAATATTTCATTAATGCAATTACCAATTAAAATTCTGCAACGAAAGGAATCTGGAACAATTTAATGTTTATGGAGGGTCATGCTTAAATTTTAATATAAACGGCAGGAAAAATTAAGCAATTTAATACTACCTACTATCAAGGCGAATCGTTAATTACCGATATGGTGATTTCAATATCGATTAAAAGATAGAGATCACGATTTATTCTCTACCGGTGCCATTAGCGATCAATTCTCACGTGGCGCACTGGCGTATGACAAAAATACTAAGGGTGGAAATTGATAATTGTCTTATATGGCGATCTTAATATTGAGTTCAGCGATTTGTTATGCTAAAGTATGCCAAATCGGCACGTGGATTTATCGAATAGAAGGGATCCAATAAAAAAGTCTATAATTTATGAATAAAATAGGCTTTTATTATATAGGCGAGCTTTCGTTCGCGTCACCTTGACCTTGATTGTTTGGCACATAGAGGTGAGTGAAATGAAAGCAATAGTTAGGCAGATTACAGCTTCCGGACGGGTGTCTCGTCTCGCTGTGCCATGCGTCTCGCGCCGGCGGCACGCGTTTGTGATCCTCGGGAGCATTCGCACCCCTAAACAGAAATGGTGGGGATCTACCAAAACAACTACAAGAACTTGAAGCATGCTGCCAGGTAACATTGCAAATGTCGCTTCTGTAGCCGCTGGTTGTGCTCCGTGCCTTTTATACGTTACGTTACGTTAGAGTAGTGTTAGTGTTTTTGTTGGGAAAAAGAAGAGTGTATGGCTGGTATGAAGATGACTTTGAACGAGCAAGAGAAGATGTACAACGTAATCCAAAATTCGCAATTAAACTGTGTGATCGTGTCCGCCGATTCTTCGAACCTCCCCAAGGGTGTTATACAAAGTAAACGTCCCTTGGCACCAGCTCCAGATCGAAACTCACCTGTTTACACAAATAGTACAGACGTACGCTGTAAGAAAAAGATTCATTTCATGAACTACCCCAGTCCGCAACAACCCGCGTCGGTGGCCCGAAGAAATGCAAGGGAACGCAATCGTGTCAAACAAGTAAACAACGGTTTTGCTGCTCTTCGCCAGCACATCCCTGCCAACGTCTTATCGGCATTTGGTGCCACGGAAAACACAAATGGGAGAAGTAACAGCAAAAAATTAAGCAAAGTGGAAACACTGCGAGTGGCCGTTGAATACATTAAAAGCCTGCAGAGGATGCTCGAAGACCACGAAGCAGAAATGACGTCGAAAAACATAATAAACGCAATTGTCGACAATCGATACTTTCCATCGAGTCCCGAATCGATCGCTCAGTACAGTCCGTACCCTACAATTCTACCGACACCCCCATCGTCCGAAGCGTCTGCCTCACCAACACCGTCACACACATCAGACGTATCGACGTCATCATATCCAATCACCACAGTTTTTTTGCCAGACGGCTACAAACCCTTTGAAACAAAAGGTCCGGATGACGAAGAGCTTTTAGATGCCATATTTTCCTGGCAGCAGAGCGAATAAGACAGGTAAGTTTTTGCGCTCGATCACCGTATGTGCACGATCCCCAATGCGAATTCTAAACGCCTACTTCCGTAACTCAACTTCCCTTTGCCGCGCTCGAAATCTACCGTTTTATTCTAATTTCCATAAACGGGGAATTGGCGCGAAAAGAAACGTATATCTCTCCCGATGTTTACTTTATGTCATATTATTGAAAGTAAGAAAATGAAAAGTCTTAGGGGTCGCTTGAATAGCATTTACAAATGCGGTTACCTGTCCTTAAGAAAACTTTGGGGTCCTTTATAGATTTATTACCTGTCCAGTATAACGGTCATTATTATGTGATGCAACAACTTTTCAAACCATGTCAAATTCCATTGTTACACTTTCCCTTCATTTTCGAACTTTTATTTTACCCATTTTCATTGTAATCTTGGGAATTTTTTTTTTCGCCCCGGCCGGCCGAGCGAAATCTGTCAATTTTGCGCTGCCGAAAATAATTTTTTTTTAATTAGTAACGCTTTAGTTATTAATAAGCGTGGCAAGTTAACGCACACGTGTGTACGCAAAACGTTAAGGGTAGAAGCGGAATTTCGCTTCAACTGTACCTTAATGACCGACGACGAAAAAGTCCCCCGATAACAAAATTTCGCGGTAAAGGAAATTATGCCGACGTTCGAGACGAAAAGAGGGGGGCACTACTTCAGACTGATTTCTTGAGATTCAATGAACATTAAAAGAAGGGCGTTTTTGTGCGAGGTTCTCATTTGCACGACTGAAGTTTAATATCGAACAATACTGTCTGCGAAACAGGAACATTATTGAAATTTGTTTTGTTAAGGCATTCCTGTCAACGATTTTTATTCATCCAGTTTTCAGGTTTAAACACATGAGCGCACGTGAAAAACCGTTACATTCGCCTTTTTTTTTCTAAAACTAACCGTTACACTTTTAGGTGTTTTGTGTTATTTCGGAATTCCACAAAAAATAAACTGGGGCAAGGGAAGCGTGACCTTTTTTTACCTTTTTGCCTAGACGAGGGGTTCTAACAATGATTTTTGTTCCAGGTTAACGTATCATTCCTCACGAGATCCCGGTGCCTTCACACGTGATACTGATTTCCATACTTTTTTGTTGTTGTTATCTAGTCAAGTTGTATTTTAATGTACAAAGTGTTTATAATATGTACAGTTAGAACGAAAACCAGATTCCGTTGGCTCGGAATATATTTTTGTACTGATATACTTAGATTTTAAGTAATAACGTAGATCGTCCAAATAATTTATTAGCGTTAATTTAAATTTTTTTGGTGCCTTAAGGTGTTATCTAGAAATAGAGAGATCCTGGCAAGATTATCCTGATTAATTTATAAGTTATAATAAGACTACCTTGCCAGTTACCTATGCCAGTTGAAGGTTTGATTCCTCATTTAGACGTACTTTATTAGTGTTACTAGTTTATTATTTTAAATGAATTAATTAGGATTTTTTAATAAACATTTAGACGTTTTGTTGATGCGTTTCATTTATTTTAAACGACGTGGATTTTCATTTTAGTAAGTCGAGTGTAAACAAGTTTTATTTACACTCGAGCAGCTCCACAATAAATTCAAGTAACCATGAAGGATGAGAAATACTTCTTTCGTCACTGAGCGAAATTAAAGGAGTCTATGAATAGTTACATAGCTCAACCAAAGGGAGGTACTCATTGGACCAACGTACAGATTAATACAAATTCCTTTGCTTGATGAAAACGTGGTGTGGTTAGATTAAAACTTAAAAGTGATTGGAACTGATGTTCTTTCTCATAAAAATTATTATACAGATGTGCACGTCTGCCAAACGCAAAAAAAATGGGTTAACACTGTTAAAGTAGTATCCCGATAATCACTATTTCCTACTGGTAAATGGATATAGAAAACACAAATAATAGTTCTGCTGCTCAATTCTGTATATAGAATTTAATGTGTTTCACTAATTTCTAAGTGGAGCGACTACAGTTACGAAAAGTGGTCAATGGTTTCTTCAGCTTCTTGTCACATCCCTATATCACATCATTACTTTTTTTAAATCACATTATATTAAGCCGAGTTTTTAAGAAAAAATTGTGTGGCAGTAGTTGCAAATTTATGACTTAGAACGACAAAGATACAACTTTGAAAACGGCATGAGATTTAATTTTTATATAACAATTGAAGGGTTGCTTATACAGGGTGAATTTTTTCCGATGTTAGGTATGGGGATCTCGTAAACCGGAAAAGATACAAGTCGCTTAATTGCGCAAAGAATTGAAGAATTTTATGTGGATTAAGTTTCCCCTTCAGAATTTCTTGTCGACAAATAACGAAGTTATGGTCAAATAAAACCGAAAAATGTCATTTTGAAAATGCGCTGGCGTTTATTTATTCTCAAAGATTTCAAAAAATAGTTTTAATAAACACGTAGTACTTTTTTCTCAGCTTTCGAATGGTGCTAAAATAAAATATTTGAGACTTTCGAATAAATCACAACTTTCTTATTTGTTATAGAGCCCATATTGGATTCTTATGTCATTCGATAGAGAATAAATGACAAAATCAGCGATACTAAACGCTTAGTATGTCATTTGGGAATCAATCTCAGTGGCGGATTTACGAGCAGGCTGAGGAGGCTAGAGCTTAGGGCGGCAAATTTGGTTCAAAAATCTTACAAAATTATAAAAAGATTATTATACATAGCGAGCTTTTTTTCATTTTTACTACGGGTATGGATCTCGTAAACGGTCTGAGTTCAAAGTTTTTTTGAGAACGCGCTTATTGTATTATTATTATAAGTTATCAAAAAATAATTTTAAAAAACCCACAGTGATTTTGTCTCGTCTTTCTCGTGTTGCTAAAATAAAATTTTTATGACTCGTTTTCGAGTAACTTACATCAACTTTCTGAAATCTTATGGACGCCACATTGGATTTTTCCATTCGATAGAGAAAACAATTACAAAATCTACGATATAAAACACGTACCTATTTAGAAATTAAAGTGTTGATGGTACTTAGGTGAAACCGAGACAATGAATGAAAACCGTTATAGTATATTAAGATACAAGTGTATAATCAAGTTTTTAAAGCACGCGCAACGAGTTTAAGGGCACGACGCAAAGTGCCTTTAACGTTGCAAGTGCTTTAAAGACCAATTATACACGTGTATCTTATAGTATTTTTTATTATACCTGCAGTATAATCTAAAAATAGGAAATACAATGAAGTCATATTGACGTTATACTCGAATACATGTCTAATTAAGTGGGCTGGGTGTTCATAATTTCACGATTGCCATGGAAATGTCACTTGACGTTTGCTTATCATCGTCTTTGTGAATTAAACGATTTCCGTTGAAAAAGATAATACACCGCCCATTAAATCGATTGTTGTAAAATCTAAACAAACGTTGGTAGGTGTAAAATCCAACTCCAGTAAAGCCTATTATAAAGAATATGAAAAGTTGTTTCCATGGATGAATAGGAAGTTACTTACGAATACAGTCTTAAATGCATCCATAATGCTGGCATATATGAAGGAAATGTCAAAGGTATTTAAATCTTCTATATTTTGGTGCATTCATTCAAAACTTTAAAGCAATGCTGCGATTAAAAAGTGGAACAGATTTGGAAGCATACCCTAAATTACGCGCGTTTGTGAAAGCTTCAACCAAAGGATAGGTACAAAAGCCAAAGAAATGTTCTGCATTTACAGAAAGCGACCTAAGAGGATTTTTTATTTCATCCAGATGACAGTTTCAAAAGTCATACTTGAAGTATCGTTACTTAGCAACTTTAAAGCACGTGTGTTTTAAAGGCCCTTTTTCGCACGCATTTGAGTGTTTAAAACGGAGATTGTGATTCAGGTATAATAAAATAGTATATTAAGTATGGAGAACGGTAAGGGATTTTTACCGTTCGAAGACAATTGTTTGGAGGAGGAGCGAAGCGACGACTCCAATTATTGTCTGAGAACGGTAACCCTTAACGTTCGACGTGCTTATAACATTTTTTGCGCGATCGAAATTAAAATTATCCAACCAATATAACTATGCACTAAGAAATTAACGAGCAGAATAAATCGAAATGATCGAAGTGGTATGGCGTACATCACTAGGCAACCAGTTTAAATGTCAAAATTGAAATTAATAATTTCATAAAAATGTGCATGTGTCTGATGTAGTTTACTAGCTTTGCACTTCCTTTATGACTTTATGAGCGTCTTGCTATAGGAAACAACAGCACAAATTGTACGTTTAATGTACCTAACAATAATTAAAGATTAAATGTAATGTAAGACTGTTGATTTTTAAAAAGGCGTCGGTAAGTATTTTTGCTGTTCTGTTTTTAGATCGGTAAGTAATTTTGGCGTCGTCGTAATCATAGCAACTGGTAAATTCTACGTACTGTCATGGAAACACCCATGGTAAATAGTCAGAAATGACCGATCGCGCAAAAAATAATTTTAAGTAAGACACGGCCGAAATTATGTATTGCTACAATGCGATCAAATATGAGCTGCTTTCGAGTCACCTTTTGGAATTTTTGTTTACATGGGAATTCGTATTTAACTTGACTCGACAGCAACTCGTTTCTGATCACCCGTTATAAGAAGTACATTGTAAACTTCAATTTTGGTATTTTTTAAATACAAACACCCTACATATCTTACCGTCAAATATTTGTATTCGTTTTCCTAATTACATTGATGTATCACAACCTATATTTTGTTTATACTACTATATTATATCATATTGTTCAAAATTTTGAAATTTTAAAATGACTTGTTTCTACCGCCCGCCATTTTTACCGTATTTTCCTCAAAGTGAAAAATCGCTATTGGCTGCACTTTTTAATCCGTCCGTCCGTCACACGTACTCCTTCTACACCACCGAACCGATTTGGATGGTATAGGGCTCATATGAAAGGGCTTGGTCCAAGGATTGCATGCATACCGATATTTTTTATGAAGATACTTAAATGAAACTTTGTATGTAAACACTATGAATATAAAAGTAAAATTAACGGCGTTTTCAAAATGTTGTTTTGTGTATGTGCAATGCCAACTTTCTTATTGATGAAAGCAGTTAAATAAAATGTCATATGTAGCAGAGCTGTCACTTTTAATAAGATTTAAATCTTTTTTATGATTTAAATACTTTTTCGATTTAAATCATTTGATCTTAAATCTTTTTACGGAAAATGATTTTTGATTTAAATCTTCATGAAAACTATCTTTGAGTTTGAACTTAAAAATATGATTTAAATCTTTTCAAAAGATTTAAATACTTTCGAAAAGATTTAAATCGTTTCCGAGTGATTTAAATCTTTTAGAGACGATTTAAATACATACTAACAAATTCTCTTGATTTGTTTCAACCTGACTAAGCTAATTAACCCGGGTTTATTTCGGTAGACGTTTATACAGAGTGGTGCCTAGCGCGACGCAGCATAGGGATTTATTTCAATGGTAATTTCTTTATAGTCAATTACTAGCTCCCCTAATTATTTTAGAGCAAAATTCTAAATACGTTTTTTTCAGAGAAAAAAAGACTGCATCTGTTCGTACTATTATTTATAATTTTCCGTTTTTCAAAACCGTAGAAATCGACAAAATAAATCAGATATGCCTTCGAATTGCCTAAAAAAACAACGTAACTTTTCATTATTTGCCTATTTGACGTATATTAAATTTATAGGTCCTTGTTTATAACCGTATTTAGACTTTTGCTCTAAAATAATTAGGGGAGCTAGTAATTGACTATAAAGAAATTACCATTGAAATCCCTATGCTGCGTCGCACTAGGCACCACCCGGTATGTATTTATTACAAAATCTAGTATACAGAGATTGACGATGTCTTGGTTTTTTTAAATTTCTTTCGCAAAAAAATACATATTTTAATTTAATAAATAATAACACTAAGATACGGTAGAAATGGTAGGTATATTGATGAATGGTGTTGAGAGTTTCGAGCAAGATCATCAGACCAATCAGTTTTATTGAATTTAAATCCTTTACAAACAATTTGTCACAAAACGATTTAAATCATTTCACAAAACGATTAAATCATCGAAAACATGATTTAAATCTTTATAAGTGATTTAAATTAACAACATTGGATTTAAATCTTTTTGAATGAATTAAATACATCGAAAGTATCTTAAATACTTTCTAAAAAGATTTAAATCAAAAAATATTTCAATCTCAAAATGATTTAGGTATTATTTAAATACTTTCTTATTGACAAAAGTATCTTTGATTTAAATCATTTGTTAAAATGAAATGCATCTTTGATCTTTAATTTAAATCTGAAATTTCTAATGTAGACAATGCGCAATGCTATTTCTCCATTATTTTTCATTAAATGTATAGACTTCGACGATATGTGACTCATTTGAGAGAGAGTTGGGTAAGGATCTCGAGCCTACTGGGATTTTTTCCCGGTCCTAGCATTAATATTTTTAGGAGGAAAATACGCTCTCGTCATTTATAT